CTTTTTAAAAAATGCGTTTCTAAAGTGCACAAACTTTTGGGATTGATTGTATAGCCAATACATCCTTAATACGAGATCAGTGAACTTCATCAAACACATTATACGATGACATAAATTTACATTAACATCTAAACATTCATAAGTGGAAAGTAACATTTGCGAGAAATAATCACATTCTGGGAAATGCATTCACGATTCTTGAACGAAGATAATGGAAACGCAATCAAAGGATAGTAACACAATAGTTGAAAGGAGTACACGGATAGAACGCGAGATGAAATGAAAATAAAAAGATGAGACGAGAAACATAATGCGAAGAGTAAATTCCTATTATAAATATACATATATGTATATATCCGACGAACGTGTGTACCCATGTATGTGTACTTTAATCATTTTCTTGTTCGCGACTCCAAAATGAAATTTCTTTTCACTATGAAATCAGACTTACGACGAATAAACATGTCATTAGTACTGTGTATTGTTTCATCAGTGCTATGCATATAATTCTTCACAATATGAGAATGGTAACATACGATCTTTTTTAATCCTGAAGAAGTTAATAAAACATCGAGACACCATAAGCGACGATGTCACGTTGTTGATTAATTTGATTCCAGGTAATCAGCATAGTCTCGGTCCTATTCATCTGCATCTCGATCCTCTCGTTCTGTCTGAAAACCCACCCGGACATGCGAGTACCAGTGATCGTGAACCGTTCGGTGAACACGGGAAACGGTAGCTCGTGGGCGGTGGACAAAACCCATACGAACGCGCACGACTTCTTCTTCTACATCGAGTGCGTGTGCAACGCGTGGTTCACCATCGAATTCCTAATCCGCATCACAGCCAGTCCAAACCGTTGCGTATTCATCAAGAGTTCGGTGAACCTGATCGACATGGTAGCCACCCTGAGCTTCTACCTGGACTTAGCGTTACAAAGATTCGCGTCGCACCTCGAGAACGCGGACATATTGGAATTCCTGAGCATAATCAGAATCATGAGACTGTTCAAACTGACCCGTCACTCGTCCGGCCTGAAGATCCTTATACAAACGTTCCGCGCGTCTGCCAAGGAATTGACGTTGCTCGTGTTCTTCTTGGTGCTGGGCATCGTGATATTCGCCAGTCTAGTCTATTACGCCGAGAGGACCCAGTACAACCCGAAGAACGACTTCAAGAGCATACCACTGGGCCTCTGGTGGGCCTTGGTCACCATGACCACCGTCGGTTACGGGGACATGGTACCCAAGACTTACGTCGGCATGTTCGTAGGCGCGCTTTGCGCCCTCGCCGGCGTGTTAACGATCGCCCTGCCGGTGCCCGTGATCGTCAGCAACTTTGCGATGTATTACAGTCACACGCAGGCGCGAGCCAAGCTGCCGAAGAAGAGGCGGCGCGTCTTGCCCGTGGAGCAGCCCCGGGTCAGGGCCCCAGGTGCCGTTCAGACCGGCACCGGGCCCCCCGGATGCACCGCGCAGCATCTACAGGTCGGACATCCACCGCCCGGCATCGGAGCTGGCCAGCTTCAGGGTGTGGGTTGCCAGGGTGGCCAGGGACCTCAGAACAGGAGGATGAACGCCATTAAAAGTAATCATCCTAAGGACGTGACGTTTGCTACGAAAACTGGTAAGTTTACAAAATTTCACTGTCACATAATTTCCTAAAGCAATTTCCAAGCTGTCGATTCGTGCGGCAAATAAAATCGCTATTAACACGCGAGCCAATCGATTCAGTGTTGTTTAATATCTAAATTAGTTAAGTGTTCTACACAAATGATATTAACACTAGATTGCCCAAGGANGGCAATATAGGTATATACTAAGTTTCAGTCTTTCTAGTGTTAATTTGGCAAATATAAAATGATTCATTGAAGAAATCAAATATTTCTGTACACGCATCATTATGTGTGATTTTTCTTTTCATTACTGGTGCATTCAATAGCATTTTAATATATGATACAATATATTGGTTGATTCTATGAAGGAGAAAGCGTGTAGGCTACTATAGTGCAGTGGGTTCTTTGTTTTCCTGTTGTTCTTGCACGGTGGGTTCCAGAGGAGGACCGGAGGAACTCTAACCTGCGGACCAACGGGACCAAGACAGCTGGAGGTTTGGGTTAATAAGTA